ATTAATTCAGTATCATATAGAGATAGAGATGGATAGATATATAAATGCGCATCCCCCTGCCTTTAAGTTCCAACCCAGGCTTTAAAGTGCATCCATGCTGTTTTACGTGCTGTCCTGCTGCAGATATGATAACAAAGTTTAGGCTTTCAGTCTGTGCTGAAGGAATCCCTACAGAATAAAAACAACGTTACGTCCCTACCAAAAAAATACGAACTAAGGTGAAGAAAAGGAGATAAAAACTTACTCACGTGAGGCTTTCTTACCGGCGTTTTTATCCCCCATGTCCCCTTTGGTGCGGAAGTTGAGTATACTGCCGACGTATCTATAGGCTGGAGGATGTGCTTGGAGCTTGTGCACGCTGGGTTCTTTGGGCAGAGCAGAGAGGGAGGCAAGTTGCTTGTTTCGAGTATTACAATTGTAAAATGAGCACCTCCTGGGACCCTCACTGAAACGCGCTATAGAGCCACACCGGGTGCAGTGCTTTTTAGTGAGCTGGTGATTACCCCTTTGCAAGACTTTCTGAGTGAGGTGGAGTGAGGGCTCAGGTGAAGAATGAGGTGTGTGTGTGTGTGTGTGTGTGTGTGTGTGTGTGTGTGTGTGTGTGTGTGCGTGTGCATGTGTGTGTGTTTTTCCCCAGGGGGGAGTGGATGCAGGGTGTGCATTGTGTTTTGATCTGGATGCAGGAGTGTACAGTTTTGTCAGGAGCTGTTCTGTCACTGTTGTACTCAAACACATACAGCAAAAACATGCCAGATTTAAAAATACTTTTCAACCAGCAGGTTTATAATATGCACGGATGAACAAGCTGACTAAACCGTTTTGATTGTTTTTATAGATAAACACATTCCACTATCTTTGAAAATGAGTTAAGTCACATAGCGATCTGAATAATTCAAAATCCATTGTGTGTTTTAGGCTTATCTTCCTTGACACGAATATGTCCAAATTCAACACCCTTTGTTATTTTTATGATATGTCAGTAAATCCTTGCAGTAAGCTTTCCCTTTTTAACCCTTAATTCTCCAGGTGTCAGTGTACTTTTTTAGCATTATTTCTTAATCTAACCATTTTTTGCTGACTTGACAATAAGCATTTCCCCCTGTCAGCCCACAGTGAAGATCAGCGTCCTCACACACCTGCTGACCACATGCTGTCACATGTTGCTTTTACCTTCTGCAAAGGCAGATGATATTTTGCTGAGAATCATCAATATTTAATGAATGAACAAAGGATCAATAATCGTGTCCTGAGCATCTGACTCTTTATTGTTCCTGTAATTTGATTATGCTGCAGTATAATTCTGACAGGTATTGTGTACTGTGTATTCATAGATAACACTGTGCATTCAGAAAGAACTGTTCTTTTGTAATTTATGCAAAAAGCTCTTCAGGAAGTTGCCCGTGTTAAGTATCAACTCAGTGTGAGATATACTGGATTTGGTAGTTTACTTCTCTCATATTTTATCAAGTGCCCCTCTTATCTTGTGATGTTTTTTAACCCCAAATACAAACAAACAAAAACATTTTGAAGTGTCTCTTAATCATGTAGAATGAGAGGTTGATGCTGTCACGCTGTCCTCTGTGGTATTTAGGTAAAATAAACACAAGGGCTTTGCATTGGTGGAGTTATCAGTGTCCTCTTCACACAGCTAAATAGTGTACCTCAGCTACGCACTGCTTCCCAAAGGAAGCCAAAATCGCAGAGTGACCACAGAGTTTCCAAATCTATGCAGGAAAAAACAGTAAACAAGTCACGGTGTGGTATTATCTAACGGGCCCATTGATCAGTGTCTTGGAAAGCTCACAGTCAGCATTCTGAGGGGATGGTATGATAACGGCTTGAGTTTCCTCTGATGGTATACAAAGACTGCTGTTGGTATAAGATGTTCTTAGCCTTTGGGATGAAATAGAAGCCTCAAGGCCAAATGACGTTCAGCATCATGCCTGATAAACAACACAAACACTGGAGCCGGATGTCACAGTTGCTTTATTATTCACTCTACTCATTACAATAACCTTACATCCATATTTATTATGCCAGAAAAATATGAAGTGTTTCCCATTATCACATGTTATGTAAAATGCAATATTCCTATAATACCAAGATGTCCCACTGCATCTTTTTACATATTCTAGAATGCAACTAGCATGCTTTTTTCCTCTATTTTGACCCAAAATGCAATCTTATGATAAAATAGTATATTTAGTATATTTAATATTTTCTTATTTGTATGCATACTACATGTAACAGTACGCACTTTGCAAGCCACATAAAATACTAGAGGAAAGAAAAAGTAGGCAATTTGAAACGCAGCCTAGTTGAAGTATGAATGAGTGTCCTCTACATGAATGACAAGTTGTTCTGATTTTAGACACTTCCTGTCACATGACCGAGGCCTTGCTACCCTGTTGCAAACGCAGACAAATCCTGGCTGGCGTCGGTTCACAGCAAATCGATGAAGGGATCGGAAAGAAGACACCTATGCTGCGAAAAAAATAAAATGCATCACATTGATCAGAACGCAACCTATTTGGTCCTTAAGATTCAGAGAGAGATACATGTGTTTCTGTTAGGGTTGTGTCGTTTCCTTAAGGTCTGCAGCGTAATACAACCCTTACCTAAATTAAATTCTACGGCCGCTTAAATATTTATGATACTCACCCTCTTTTGGTCCACTCTCCTAGCTTTCAGTTCCTCTTTATGGCCTACCTCGCCCTGTGTTCCCTCCTATCACTGTCATCCCTCCATTCCCTGCTCTGCTCTCTCCATCCCTCCTCCTCTTCCTCTCCTCCCACATCTCCCTGTCCTCCCACATATCCCTGTCCTCCCCTGCCCTAGACCTGCACCCGTAGGATATCATCTAACTTGGCAGTGTGTCCTTGGGTCTTTACAGGGGCAAAGGCATATTGCTCTCATTTCCTTGTGCACTGTATCTTTGCCTTGGAACCCAACGCTTGCCTGTATAACAACATCATTGTCTCATAGAAGTGTGATGGTATTAAAATGGCCCCTACAAGATGCATTGTCTGCCTCAGTTAAGATTAATTACCCATCTACTCGTAAACGTCTTTTATTCTCATCTATCTATTACGTCATTTTTCTGTGCAATGTTTTCTATAGCTAAAATAACCAGTAAGTCAAGTGCATGTATTACATTGGAGGGGAGCCCCAGTTACTCTGAAGACACTGCAGTGCAGCCATCTCCCTGTAAAGTCTACCTTCTTCGACTATTTCTGGAGTCACTGGCAAGCTTGTGAGGAGTTTGGAAAACTTGGCCAGATGCCAATAGCAACATAGTGCCATCAATACTACACTATATATTCTCTTTTTTTCATGAAGACACTGCCAAATGATTGTATTTTTATAATAATAAATAATTCATCATTATTTTATTATTTCGACATTCTTAAGAAAATGTGATATATTATCATATTTCTTTATAGTGCATTTACTCTTTTCTTCATCTTTGTCATCATATTCACCTCTTTGCTCAAAGCTTTAACATACATTTATTTCTACCTTTAATCCATCTTCAATGCAGGAACATGCATTTAGATCCTTTACTTGACCAGAAGTGTCAATACAATAATGAAAACATGTTTTAATGTAAGATCCTGAAACTAAAGCAGTTACATAGAATTCAGCCATCTTTAATGTTATTATTTAAAGTTTTACTTTTCCTACGTTGTCAAAATGTGTACTGTGAAAAAGGGTTAGGCAGAGTCAGCATATTTTGTTCTGGCTATGTCACAGGATGTCAAATACATGTTGTAGAGTAAAAAGTACAATATTTCCCTCTTGGTGAAAGTAAAAGATGGCAAGGGAAAGACACGTAGTGACTTTTTATTTATATAGGCACTTTTCAAGGCTCTCAAGGTCGCCATACAAGATGCACAAAACAGGAACACCAGCAGAAAAACAAGACAATATAATCAATAAGAACAGAGGATGTGTCATGTGATCAGGGTGGATATGCCAGTGTGAAGATCTATGTTTTGAGACGTGATTTGAAGATGGAGAGTGGTGGTCAGATGTCCGGTGGGATGGAACCAATTAATTCCCTCAGTATAATGTTCTTTCCAATACTGTGACTTCAGTGGCTACCCCCCCCCCTCCCCCTGCATCTTCCTAATCTGTTCTTTATTATGCCGCTAGAGGGAAGTGAGATGCTTTTTTTGGATAAACGACAAATGCTGTCGTGTCTGCACAACTCAGAGACCTTCATCTTCTGCTGCATTCAAGTTCTCTCGTCTATTATTTCAGATTCCACTTTTTTGGTCCAGTATACTTAACACTTCCTAGGAGTTTGACTGTTTGGTTTCCAGGAGCTCTGTCACATGTGAACGTCCTGCATTTAATAGCCCGCTTCAGTAAAAGTACAAAAGTATTGACATCAACTACTTGTTACGCGTAGTGGCCCATTTCAGAATCAAGAATTATGGATTAGGATTTTTAATGCAATAATGTTTTATCACAGCTGATAAAGGTGGAGTTAATTGGAATAACTTGTTATACTGCTGGATGTCATAACCTATAATAACATATAAATGTGTTTATTTATTAGTGGATTTTAGCTAATAATCAAAATCTATAAAGTAATTTCTAAATGCTGTGAAATAAATGTAGTGAAGTAAAAAGTACAAAGTAGCATCAAATAGAAATACTCAAGTAAATAACAAATATCTCAAAATTAGTACAATGGACTTCATTTAATTCCATTGATGCATACATAGCTGACATGTAGGGTATACAGTAGGCCTACTGTAGCTACAGTAGGCTACTACTCGCTTAGAGTTGAGAATATAATACTTACACAGCATTACAGTTCTGTTAAACAATTGGAGTAAATACAAGGAGATAACATTATATTGTTATTATATAAAACAACAGTTACTTTTTTCCAAACAATCCTAAAACGTATCTTATTACACCAAGAGCTATTTAGATGAACCCAGAAGTCTGAGCTTTTGGGCGAGTCCTTGAACGCAGCATTTATTCCAGTGGGACGGGCTTCCGGAAGAAGGTCATCACAAACATGGCGTGGAGAGGATGTGTATTAAAATGGTTAAAAACAGAGTTAATCAGATCCACCAACACGACTTTACGAAGCTCCAGGTGAGCAGTGCTATAACTCTACAGGCGCAGGGTTTGTAAAGAATAAAAATGGCGGGACCATTATGTGTGTTTGTGTCTCGAGCAGCAGATTACTTAACTGTCATTGTAAAGAGACCGAGGTGCAGAGAGCCGTGTGTTTCATTTGTTTACAGAGAAAGACAGACCGTCTGTGTCATTTGTTTCTGTCTGTCATATTCGGGGCTGATCAAGCAGCAAAATGCATACAACACTTTTTCTACTAACTTGTTGTTACCATTACAAATATAAAGCCTACTAAATAAAGATCTATGGTTTTGACCAATAGGCATAGTCCATGGTAAGTCAGGTAATTATGGCTATTTTCTAAGCCTGAGTGCTCAGTTATAATAGCTACAATTATAATTTTACAGGGCTATTGCTTTATTTAAATTATTAGAAGACAGAACATTTTGTCCAATTGACTAATATACTTTACCAATTGTTTTGCTAACCCTAACTTTTGTTCCTTACAAAAAGTCAAATATGCATTAATTACAGCTTCTCAGTCGCAGGGTTTGACTCTTTTTTTGTCTTATTGATTGTTAAGGAAATACATTTTAGTTTCATTTATTCATTTCAGGGCTGTCAAATAATGTCCCCTAACACAATAAGGGTTTTTTGTCTTTCAATGTATTTATTTAAGCTCTCTGTAAATACATTTTTAAAACTGTATCAACACTTTCTTTGCAGAGAGATCCCACACTACCAACAGAGGTACGGTTTCCGTCAGGAAGCCAAACGGCCGGATACAAAGAAAGGAAATGTTGTCCAAAAAACTAAAGTTTCTCCCTCGGAGGCTGGCACTCAATCTCTCCCACCTCCTCCCAAAGTCCCCCGGCCGTCACTCTTTAAACCGCTGATGTTCACAGTAGGGGTAGGTCTTCCAAATATACTAGAATTATAAAGGAACAGACAGTACTGGGGTTAGGGACGGTTTGGATGTGTTGGATGTTGTCTGACTCCGTGTCAGTTTACAGGCTGCTCATTTGGTGCCGCGGCTATCCTGCAATACGAGACCCTGAAGTCACGAGTCAGGACTGCACAAGATGAAGAAAAGTCCGAAAAATTCTCACAGGTGAGGTTTTAATGATGCACACTGCTGGTACAGTGGGGCAAAAAAGTATTTAGTCAGCCACCAATTGTGCAAGTTCTCCCACTTAAAAAGATGAGAGAGGCCTGTAATGTTCATCCTAGTAGTATACCTCAACTATGAGAGACAGAATGAGAAAAAAAAAATCCAGAAAATCACATTGTCTGATTTTTAAAGAATTTATTTGCAAATTATGGTGGAAAATAAGTATTTGGTCAAAAACAAAAGTTAATCTCAATACTTTGTTATATACCCTTTGTTGGCAATGACAGAGGTCACACGTTTTCTGTAAGTCTTCACAAGGTTTTCACACACTGTTGCTGGTATTTTGGCCCATTCCTCCATGCAGATCTCCTCTAGAGCAGTGATGTTTTGGGGCTGTCGCTGGGCAACACAGACTTTCAACTCCCTCCAAAGATTTTCTATGGGGTTGAGATCTGGACACTGGCTAGGCCACTCCAGGACCTTGAAATGCTTCTTACGAAGCCACTCCTTCGTTGCCCGGGCAGTGTGTTTGGGATCATTGTCATGCTGAAAGACCCAGCCACGTTTCATCTTCAATGCCCTTGTTGATGGAAGGAGGTTGTCACTCAAAATCTCATGATACATGGCCCCATTCATTCTTTCCTTTACACGGATCAGTCGTCCTGGTCCCTTTGCAGAAAAACAGCCCCAAAGCATGATGTTTCCACCCCCATGTTTCACAGTAGGTATGGTGTTCTTTGGATGCAACTCAGCATTCTTTCTCCTCCAAACACGTCTAGTTGAGTTTTTACCAAAAATTCTATTTTGGTTTCATCTGACCATATGACATTCTCCCAATCCTCTTCTGGATCATCTAAATGCTCTCTAGCAAACTTCAGACGGGCCTGGACATGTACTGGCTTAAGCAGGGGGCACGTCTGGCATTGCAGGATTTAAGTCCCTGGCGGCGTAGTGTGTTACTGATGGTAGCCTTTGTTACTTTGGTCCCAGCTCTCTGCAGGTCATTGACTAGGTCCCCCCGTGTGGTTCTGGGATTTTTGCACACCGTTCTTGTGATCATTTTGACCCCACGGGGTGAGATCTTGCGTGGAGCCCCAGATTGAGGGAGATTATCAGTGTCTTCCATTTTCTAATAATTGCTCCCACAGTTGATTTCTTCACACCAAGCTGCTTACCTATTGCAGATTCAGTCTTCCCAGCCTGGTGCAGGTCTACAATTTTGTTTCTGGTGTCCTTTGACAGCTCTTTGGTCTTGGCCATAGTGGAGTTTGGAGTGTGACTGTTTGAGGTTGTGGACAGATGTCTTTTATACTGATAACGAGTTCAAACGGGTGCCATTAATACAGTTAACGAGTGGAGGACAGAGGAGGCTCTTAAAGAAGAAGTTACAGGTCTGTGAGAGCCAGAAATCTTGTTTGTTTGTAGGTGACCAAATACTTATTTTACCGAGGAATTTACCAATTAATTCATTAAAAATCCTACAATGTGATTTCCTGGATTCTTTCCCCCCATTCTGTCTCTCATAGTTGAAGTGTACCTAGGATGAAAATTACAGGCCTCTCATCTTTTTAAGTGGGAGAACTTGCACAATTGGTGGCTGACTAAATACTTTTTTGCCCCACTGTATGTATATTATTTCCTAATAGGCTGCTCACAGCGACTGAGTTAACCTTTCTTATCTCATGGGGGGTCTCAGGATATGACGTACTGGCATGACTGGTGGAACAAGCTGTCAGGCTTCCAGCGGCAGCTCATCCTCCTCGTGTCCACGGTGGATGACTTCTGGAGCAGTCTCTCAGAGGGACAGAAGACTGTAACAGGTGACTCATGTTGCAGAGACAGATTCATTTAGACCCTGGGTTTATTCCGATGAAATGGCTAGCATCACCATCTTTACATGTGTTTCATAATCTTATATTTTAATAGTCAGGATCTTTCCTTATTTATTTTTTTCTAGGCATCATTGCACTGAATGCTGTAGTCCTGTGTTGCTGGCGGATCCCTGTGATGCAAAGAAGTATGGTTAAGTACTTCACGTCCACTCCAGCCGCCAGTGAGTATGCATGTTATACCCGTACTGGTAAAATGTAGAATTGACTTGCGATATGACAGTAAAGGCAATGCTTTTCTTGCATGTGGAAGATGTGCAGCTTTATTCGCTGGCCATGACTAGGTTCTCTGTTTTTGTCTATTTTCTTTTTCCCACCAGAAACACGGTGCCTGCCTATGGTCCTGTCCACCTTCAGCCACTACTCCATTTTCCATATGGCGGCCAACATGTATGTCCTGTGGACATTCTCATCAGAAATCGTCTCCATCTTAGGAAGGGAGCAGTTTCTTGCATTCTATTTATCGGCTGGTGAGTCAAATAAAGACATTGAATCCATCAAACCCAAATCCATTTTCATCCCTAGCCTAATCTAGTTAGGTTCACTTTCAATGTTTTAGGGCAGTGCAAGTCCTATATAACATCATTTTTAATACATTAAATTAAAAGAACACCATACTGTATCAGGGTGTCCGAGGGGTCTTAAAAAGTATTACAAGTTGATCAATTTAGTGAAAATTAAGGCTATTAAAAAGTATTAAACGGCATCTTCCAAGGTATTACATGTTGTAGCTTGTTTTCAATAAGTATATAAATTGTCCAAAGAGGTTGTATTCTACAGTCTGCCTGAATGTAATCATTGCGTAGGTGTGTAGTGTGATTCTGTGTAGTTTATTTATGGCATCCCGTTGGATTTGACGTCATCTGAACAGGACATCGCACGCTCACTGTTTGATAGCGCGCGAAGGTCCGTTTACGCCGGTTGTTAAACAACATCGTTATGGGGAAATGCAAGTTTGCGTCCAAATGGTTGGAAGATAAGGAGGAAGGACAATCAATACTGTATATAGTAAATGTGAGGTAAAGTGTGTCGCCAATGTAACCGGTTCAAACTCAAAGTGGCGATGAGGTCTTAAAATGTATGGAAAGGGTCTTTAAAAAGGTCTTAAAAGGTATTACATTTGACTTCAGGATTCCTGCATATACCCTGTGTATAGATATCACATTTACTTTTTAGCTGAATTACTAAATATTATTAGATTTGTGTATTGGAACCAGTTGGTAAACGGTCAGTTCGACAAAAAAAAAAAAGGGAAATTAAAGTTTTAATGTTTTTTGGGGAAAAGTGACATCTCAAGTTGAATGTGTATTTTCAGGTGTGATTTCCAATATGGTCAGCTACACATGTAAAACTGCAACTAGAAGTCTGCATCCATCATTAGGAGCGGTAAGATATCTGTTAAAATCATCATACACCTCAACAAAAAAAGATGAACAATAAGCCTTATCTTTTTTCTGTATTTTCTTGTCTCCATAGTCAGGTGCTGTGATGGCAGTACTGGCTGCAGTCTGCGCGAATGTGCCAGAGGCCAAACTAGGAATAATCCTCCTCCCCATGTTGACTTTCACTGCAGGAAACGTAAGTGAAACATGTTCATATGCACTGCATCGTCTTTTATGTAGATACACACCTCTAAAGCTTAATCTGAATAAAAAATAGTTTGGTAATTCATGCATTTAATAGTGAGTTTGTCTTTCTGCTGTAGGAAAGAGATGTTAATCTGTGCATGACACAACAAAAACAGACAAAGTGCAGTGTGTGTGAGTTATCATGTCTGAATGCATGGTTTACAGACAGTTGTCGTTGAGTTTAGTCAGTCCCAGTGTGTTATTTTGGGTTCCTGTCATTGGTCTGCCTTTAGGCTCTGAAAGCGCTGATCGCCATGGATACAGCAGGGCTCGTCCTGGGATGGCGGATGTTTGACCACGCAGCTCACCTTGGTGGAGCCCTCTTTGGAGTGTGAGTGGAAACAGATTGAAAACTCCATAGATTATGTATAAATAATGTTTGGTAGTATCCTGTCCTGCAGTGAGTACATTTGAACTGTACCCCTATATCTTCTCCTGCAGATGGTATGTGGCATACGGTCACAAACTGATCTGGAGGAAGCGAGAGCCTCTGGTGAAGCTGTGGCATGAAGCACGTTCTCCAGGTGCCGGTGGATCCAGGTCAGGAGGAGGGCCTGGGGTCAGTGGTGGACCTGGACCAAAATGAGACTCTGCAAGACCTGTTCCTTTTTTTTTTAAACTGGAGTCCACAGTTACCCAAGGATATGCAAAGACACTTTTATCAACAAGAGAGTCGGATGTTATTGTGTGTTATTTACACATAGATTGTATTCAAGGTTAGTAATGAGCATAAGGTTATTTAATGCAGTGTTTCTCAAACTTTTTCATACCAAGGACCACTTAACCAATAAAAAAACACTCGCGGACCACCTAACTCCACAAATATCCAAAAACACATCGTTTTTTTTTAGAGATCGCCTGAAAATGGTACAAACAAGTGGCCACATGTGTGATGAAGGTGTTTATCTGGGCTATATCATGCAATCGAAAGTGAAACTTAAGCTCGCTCCATTGCGGAGATATTCCCACGAGAGTGCGAAAAACTTTAATTAATTAATTAATTTAAAATGTGAAATTGTACCAATATACTCACGGACCACTAGGGGGCGCTCACGGACCACCAGTGGTCCGCGGACCACACTTTAAGAAGCACTGATTTAATGGTATTCAGAGATCGGGAATGTGAACAGGTGACACTCCAGATGTTTACTGTGTGGACTGATAACATCTGTTGCCTTGGAGCTACAAATGGAAAATATCATCCCTCTACCTCTTAATCTTCAGCCTTCAAGTCAGTTTTTTTTTTTACTGTCCCTATTATTGAAAGCAATTGTATAAAACTGGACAGAAACTGTGTGCGTGCGATAGTGAATAAATCAATTGCTGAAATTATTTTAATATATGTAGAGTCCTGTGGGCTGGCCTTATGTCGCTATTAAAACAGGATGACAATCAAAGTTGATAATGCATTTTATTTATTTTTTAATAAGAGAAGATTAGTCTGCATTGATATAATTCCTGACAAGGGAACTATTTCTACACTTTGGTGAAAAAGCCGTGAAGTAGCGATTTATGTTTATTTCAGAAATGAGATGCTACTGTTCAGCCCGTTTCCAGAAAAGCTCTTCTCCTAAGAACTACTTAGTATCTCCTATTAACTTATTCATCTACAACTTCTGTTTAGAGAAAAACAATTGGATTTATTTAACAGAGTCACATGATATGTGCACACATTGCTTTTTCAAAATTCATTGTCAATGCATGCATAGTACTGTACATAAAGATTAAGTTAGGATGTACGAAATACCTGCAGTTATTCTAGTTCATTCACAAATTCACACTATGGCTGGGTCTATTTTTGCCAGGAAATTACAAAATAACGACATCTTCTTTAAATGGGAAGGGTGTGTACATACATAAATGCAGTAAAACCAAAACATTTGAACTAGACGTCCTCAGAGCTGTAAATCATGGTTACAAACAAGGCAATTTGTCTGCAGATGTAAGACTGACACCTGCTGGCTGTAAAATAACTGCACTACAATCCACTGAGAGAGGTGTTCATACTGAAGGAAAGGCAGCTTTGGTAACAGCATACAGATTACCTTATCACATAAGGACGTTTCATCAGACTGGGCCATGAGTAGAACATTCAGATTGCCCGAAATCCATGATTGTCCTGCAGGTGCAAGGGAGAGACTACCGGTAATTAGAAATGCAAACAAGCCCAAATATTCTCATGAGGACCATTTTTTGCTGTATTTCACCCTCTTCTGAATCATGCATTCAAATCAAAAGATTTTGTCTCTTAAACTTAAATTAGAGTTTTCTAGATGTGCAGGGATCATAAGAGTCAAACTTACGACTATTACTTGAGTTGATCTTCTTTCAATCCAAAACAACCAGCAGTGACGCGGCTCCTCAACCTCTACTCTTGTGATTGGCATAGCTGGGAAATCCAAACTGGGAGACCATCAGGTTGGAGAAGCAGAGGGGCATGAAGCCATAGATCTGCGTCAGCCTGTTGAGACAGAAGGATCTCTGCAGAAGGTGTTCGGGGCGATGCCACATGCCCTGGTACCCGCTGCGGGCGTCCTTTTCCAGGTTCCGTAGGTCCACAGGTTTGACAAAGACCCCAGAGGGTTTGTTAACGCTGCCTGTGGAGTGTTTCCTCAAATACAGCGCTACAGCAAAGTTCATGGCGATGTCGTCACAGTTCTGTGTTTCATCTACCAGCGCATGCACTGCTGGAGGCTGGTCCTGGAAGAGCTGCAGGTAGCGACGGTGGAAGAAGGCAGCACCAACTAAAACCATGGAGTATCTGCAGTGAGGGGATCAAGATAACCATATTAAAAAAGCGCCTTCCACATCATAGTAAGATTAACCAAACCAGCAGCTAATATTATGCATTTTGGGAAGCTTGAAAAACTATGATAAGTAGGAAAAAGCACAACTTACTTGTCACCTCCACCTGTTTCTGGGTCCTGCAGTTCAAAGCTGCCGTAGCTGTACACTCCTCCTGGTGTGGAGACATGTTTCCGTGGGACAAACCCAACAATCTGGTCTGGAAATTGCTGCAGATTAGAACCAAAGACAAAACCGTTAATGCTGTACCTGCTAATGCCACAACCATTGTGTAAGATGCAGTACCAGATAATGCCGATGCATTTTAATGTACATAATCAATTATCAAATTAACCCAAATGTAGAGTGTATTACCTTCCAGACAGAGAAAGCGAAACTGATGTCAGGAACGCTGACCAGGGTGTCGTCATCCAGCATCAGAACAGCTAGGGATAAGAGAAAAAACTAAACAAACAACTCTGACATTTTTTTTTAAAAAGGCACAGAATTATAGTACAACTACCACTTAACATAAACAATATGCAAGCTGGAAAATATACTCACCATCAGTTTCAATCTCAGGGAATGGTTGTAGTCTATTGCGCATTTGATTGATGGTCTGCTCCTTGAAGAGCACAGGGACCGGATGGGGCCCCAAAGAGTTCCATAGCTTTAGGGGTGTCTGCTCCCCAATGTTGTTCCAGACTATAATAATCTTCTGAAGATGAGGCACTGCCTGGTAATGGTTGAGGAGTTTGAGCAAAATGTCTGTGCGGTTGTAAGTTTGGATGATGATGGTGAACCTCTGCTCGTCCTCTGTGCTGTCGCCATGGCGGCCCTGTGCAGGATCCTCCTTTTGTGATGTTGCTCTGCGTAGCACTCCCAGGAAGCCAACGCCTCTTTGGTCCTCCGCAGGTGGCAGCAGAGCGGTCAGGGAGGCACCAACCAGGAGAACCAGCAGGATGGGACAAACCAAGTAGGCTCGACGTAGCCCCATGCAGCATCTGAGGACCCTGCATCAGAAAGGAAGGGCATCCCATTACAGTTATATCCAGGTTTGGTTCACACTGAGACTTCACACTATAGATACTATCGGGCATTCATTTGTATACATGTATCACAATAAAAGGCAACAACAGAGAAAAGCAATGCCACATTTTGCATGCTCTATTACAAATATAAATATTACAAGTCTCAAATATTAACACAACATTGAAAAAGGCTGGTCTCTGAATAAATACATAAACCGTTCAATCTAATAAGTAGACAGATATTGTAAGTTTCTACTAAATGATACTAAAAATGCTGCTTCTGTTTAGGATGTCCAAGAACATTAGCATTTCAAATAGACTATGAGTAACACACGAGACAGGGATGCTTGTATTTATCTCTAATGCAACTGCAACTTATTTTTGTGGAATCACTTTTTCACTGGGTTTATCAAATGGACTTCATGAGGCGTTCAGAAAACACTGGAACGTTCAGAAGTAACTAAATGTCCATAGCTTGGTAAACATTGTCGTCAGTAAAGTGAAAACGGTAGTTTTCTTTTCTTTTAGTGAGTCCAAGAATAGTTTGTCAAGAGTGCTCAAGAACCGCTGCACATAGGGAATTTGTTCTGTTAGCAAGATTGAAATTATTGTTTACCAAACAATGTCTTGTATGATGAAACCAGTTTCATGTTTCACATACAGTATGCCAGTATTATTTCTGTGAGTTTAGTTTCCCGTACTACCACATGGAAGAGCTATTAAATGGCATCATAGATAGTAATATCACATGTATTCCCATAACTCAAACTCACCTCATTTTGTTGGCAAAACCCAGAGCGTTCGCTTTACATGGTCGCCATGTTGACTGACTCTGACCAAAGAGCCTGAAAGAAGAGAGCTGTGTCATTAGCGCTACGGAGCCTGTGTGGGGTATCACAGCTCAGGAAATGAACCGCTGTATTGTTAGAAAACCTGAACAATCGCCAATTTACTGAGCCCTTTAATTCAGTCTTTTTGTGTACACTCCATACGTTAATGACATGTACATGAGTTTTCATTCACGTGGGCATATTTAGTATTTATTTTTAACTGACGCCATCTTTGTTCTGCTAAATCAAGGCATTACCCATAGGCGTGAATGTAATGTGATTGGATTTCCCGTTGGAGGAACATCTCCCCAGCTACAGAGATAGATACTATCGCCATTGGTTTGAAATGTGTACTCTGATTTGGAAAGAACCGAAAACACTTTAGGTAAAACTTCACAAAACCAGAAACTTGCAAATTCCTACAGCTTCCGACAAAGACTGTTTTAAATACATGATAATAAGGCTTAGTCTCGTATGTGTTACGTTGATGGAACGTTTGTAACGGGTTGGTTGTAATGGATAGTATTACATAGGCTACAGATTTTACTAGGTGAGCAAAGAATAACACTTCTTCTGTTATTCAGGTTGCTCAACACTGCACAGAGGAACATGACTCTTGCAGCACACCTGAGGTTTCCTAAAGTCCCACTTTCCAACGGTCTGCAGATTCCAATACTTGGACTGGGTAAGTTGGACTTTAGTTAATAACTGACCTGTCACATATACTCTAATGCAAATACAAAACACTACAATACATGCTTTTATACTTTATACCTTTTTGCTTTATTCACTATTATTATTATTATTATTAGTTTCAATATGCCATTCTGGGAACAAACTAATGTTAAAAAATGACAACCATTCCAACACACAGAGCAACTTTTGTCTTTATATGCTAGAAACAATACAAATTCTTTCTTTATTTATTTTCTAAACAAATACATATTTAGTATACCTGCAATTACAATATTCTGAATAAAGAGTTATTGTTCATATAGTGCTTTGTCAATACTGTTTCTGGTTATACTCAGCCCTCCCAGCAAAGACAACAATTAAATGTTTTAAAATCTATTCAAAACATTCAATTGAACTGAGCTGACATTTTTTTGGGTATAGCTGCCTATATTTGGTATTTTTTCTCTGTTTTCACCAGGCACATCACATGATGGCGGTTTCTCTCATGATGCCATTGTGTATGCACTCACTGAGTGTGGCGTGCGCCATATTGACACAGCAAAACGCTACGGCTGCGAGGAGAAACTGGGTAAGGCTATCATAGAAAGTGGAATACCACGAAGTGATCTGTGGGTCACCAATAAACTGTGGCCAGGGGACTACGGATACAAAGCTGCAAAGAAGGCCTGCCTTGACTCCTGCTCACAGATGCGGTTGCATTATTTCGGTATGTTTGTGATTGATTAAGAGATTTTAATCAGAAAATAAAGTTTTCTATGTTATCATTGCAATACCACCCATTTTCTTTTATTAACCTGTTATGGGAGATGTACTTTTTCAAAGAATAATTGTTATTCGAGAGCCAAGAATTCAATAATTGTGAATTCTTTGCTCCATATTTTCATGGCATTTTTCATTCAACAACGTATGCAATCTGTTTTCTCTCTTCTCTAATTACCTTCCCCCTTTTTCAGATCTGTACCTGATGCACTGGCCAGAGTCATTGCAGTCATGTAATTGCTCAAATAGGGAGATGAGAGCTGAGACTTGGAGAGCTCTGGAGGAACTTTATAAAGAAGGTACAGAGCATGGAAGATCATGTCTGAAAAAGTATATGTAATGAGTGACTTCAGCAAGCAGGATTGTTATGAAGTATCCCTGTGTGTCACTATAGGGGTTTGCCGTGCTATTGGAGTGAGCAACTTTCAAGTCCACCACCTGGAAGAATTAAAGGAAGACTGTAGTGTTGTGCCACATGTTAACCAGGTAGGTTTTTTTCTCCTGAAAAACCTAAATAAGATTACGGAAAAAAGCCCATGGAGGCCTTCAGCTCAGGGGAGATCATTCCTCTTTCCCACATCAATAACTTTCAAATATTCATGTACAAGACGGTTTTAAATACATGTGTTTACCAACAGCGAAAGTGATGTAGTTTCAAATGTAAACTTGCTTATGATTCATCCTTAAAATGGTATGACCCAACAGGTGGAGTATCATCCTTTCCAGCAGTCCAATCAGCTGATGGGTTACTGTCGTCGGGAGGGAATTGTGTTTGAAGGCTACTCTCCTTTGGCTAAGGGACAAGTCCTCAGAAACCCAACTGTTCTCCAGATAGCAGAAAAATATGGACACACCCCCGCTCAGATCTGCATCTGCTGGAGTATTCAGGTTGTCATGATGTTTAGATATCGCCTGCCAGGAGTTAAACTGGCCTAACACCTATGTCTCTAATTGTTTTATCTCCTTCATCTTTAGAATGGAGTTGTTACAATACCCAAATCCACCAAAAAGAAGAGAATTCGAGAAAACTGTCAAGTGAGTTGACAATGCTTTACAGAATCGTTTGCTTTATAGTAGAACTTAAGATAATAAAGAAAACGTAAGAATTTAAGAAAGGTTAAGGACGATTAATTATATTTTTGATGGACCAATCAAGCAGCCACAAACACATTAAGAAAATTGCAAAAGTTTAACACAAAAAATAAAGAAAAAAGTATGTGTTAGTAGTATTGTACTTTGTGCTGCTTCTTTACAAAATATCCTCTGATGTCCTGAGATAACTAAAAATATGCATCTTAAAAACTGCCATAACATGATATATTAACAAACATTTAAATCTACTATTCAACTTCAGGCCTGAGCATAACTATCAAATATGTATTGTTTCAGAATTGTACCCACTCCATGATTTTCTCTTGGAAAATGACATGACATTAGAGAACATTAGTTAGAGATGGTACTGCCCCACTGCCTGCTCTCCTGAGCAGCAGATGATCCTAATAAATGTCAATAGGTTGATAAAACTATTATCGTGAAATGTACTGACAGTTACCGATTGTAGGTCTCTCTCAGGAGAGCAGGCAGTGGGGCAGTCCCAACTCTTAACTAATGTTCACTAATTCCTGTTACCTCTTTCTCTTCCTCTCCTCGCTCACACTCAGGTGTTCGGGTTCCAGCTGGAGGAGTCAGACATGGCTGCTTTGGGAAGCCTGCATGATGGAAGACATGTGACGTGGGATTCTACACACGTAGAGTAACAAATGTTAGAACATTTAAAAAGAAAAGTGAGTTTGTATTTTTTGCTGAAAGAAGGGAGTTCTTCTCCTGTGGCATACTAGCTTTGTAATTGTAACATATTGAATGGGATATGTGTACAATTAACTAATATCTCTGGGATAACGCCAATATGTTATCCCAGAGATATTAGTTAATTGTACACTGAAGCTTTGTACATTCCGTGTCATTTGCATATTTTACCATTTCTTAAAATGGCAAACTCTTCGACTTTTACTTCATATTTTTATTGTATTTTCTCTTATCTATATGTATTCCTTGTGTCCATTTTAAGTATTTTTTTCTGCTGTTCTATTTAGATTTCTTGATATTTGCAATCCTTGCTTTTTTTTTTATTTGACTGTTTTGCACCCATTCACCTAAGCAAATGTCTTGTATTTAAACAACTTAAAAAAAACGAATTGACAATATAGATTGAGTCCAAAAAAAATCAAGAGTATAAAAATAGTCCTTACTTTTCTAGACTTTCAGTAATTTTTCAGACCATACTCAACTAATGGCTATCCGTTTGTAAACAAACAAACACAAATGTCAACATGATTGTAACATTCTGTTTATGCTTTTATGTTGTAAAAGATAGGAACTATTTGAAGACTGTAGTTTATGCAGTAAAAATCAAATAACACCAAACCCAGTGTAAATGAACAGCGTTTTTATTTAAGCTGCAAAACTAAAACAGTTATTCTGTTGTTTATTTTGTAGGAAAAAAAAGAATTCTTAGAAAAAAGAATAGGGGCAAAAGTCAAGATTCTATTATTTTGCAATACTCTTATATTTTTTCCATATTCATCCAGACATAGAAATTACAAAATAAAACCCAATTGTTCATACTTTTCCATCAGTTTCATACTGCATAGAAACTGACAGCTGGAGTTGCTCTTTGTTAAAAATAAAAACAATGACAAAAACATTCAGAGTTAGCAATATCATTTAATCTTTCCCCTCAGCTTAGAATCACTGTTGTACATAAGTTACACTTTGTTTTCTCAATTTCACAGGTTCATTTTTTTCTCTCTTCAAACTTCCAGTTTGACCTCCCTCTCGTATCAAACGAAAAAAAAAGCAGATTGTATTATACAAAAATGCAAACCAATTTTCACACAGTGAATTCTCTTACAAAGTCATAAAATGGCGTAATAATGGCTACATCCACATTGGAGGAAGATAATTCTAGACATTCCTTAATGGAGTATAATATACATATAAAAACTTTTTTCTTGCTGAAATCAAACCTGTACCTTAATTTAAGAGATATTTTACAAGGGAGTAATCATATAAAATAGCCATTTGCGAATTTCCCCAGAAAGTTAGGGAATAAAATGTGAGCCTCGAACAGCAGTAACAGAGTTCAGTGGTCAGGGTGGGAGTGGAGGGGTTAATTGGTTGTGTCAATGAGGGGTCGATGCAGCAGTTCCACTCGGAAACAAAAACACACAGGAGACTGAAATGAACATCTTTGCTATTTTCTCTGTCGTAAACCACCCCATGCGTCTTTGTATGGCAGTTCTGATAAGCTAAAGGCGTTTTAGGCTCATTCAGACCTGCAGGGACAATCAGATAGAATCAGCATTGTGATCTTTTTGGTTGACTTGCACTCAGAGAAAGTGAGAAATGTCATTAAATGAATACCATGTGTTGCCAATTCATGGCATTTTAACAGCACAATTAAGCTGGTGGGCCAATATATTGTAAATACTTGTCAAATAAGAACACTATTGTGTGAATGTCACTCTTAGCTGTTGACTACACATCAGGTCCATGATGCATCAAAGACTGTAAGACTTGCAGGTCAGTAAATTCACTCAACTATTGCAGAAACAAAAAAACAAGAGAAAGAGAAAAGAACTACAAACCGAGCTAGGTCAACAACATTTCCTTAAAAAATAATAAAAAACACTTTCTTCAAATCTTACGATTTGCATTATTTGCATGTTGCTGTTTTACAAGACATTTTCAAAAGGGAGGGGGGGGGTCTAATAGAGTCCCTCTGTACGACTCTAAATCATGCCAATTTATTGTTAATCAGTATTTTTGCGATGACCTCTTGCTCCTAAAGCAGCTAAAGAGCATAGCAAGAGGATTTAAGGCCAACCTGTCATCAGGGATTCCTGAATATCCTCTTGGGGGTAGGGGTGGGAATAAAACCCCAACACTTTGCTAATACCTCAAAACTATCACCCAGTACAGCACACTTTGAGGGGAGAAAAAACTTAAGGGTACATTTTCTACAAGTCATTCTAGCACACACAAAACGTCTCATTTTCCAAAGTTACAGAATGTTGTCTTCTTCGGAAGCATAGTCTATAAAGAACATCTTTGTTTGAACACAAAAGATTAAGTGAACACACATCAATGCGCACAGAAGTCCTTCGTCTGGGAAAGGATAAAGTCTGTGTTGGCAACCAGTGGACAGAAAACAAATCAAACAACAAAAATAAACAACAACATTTTGCTGATTCTAAGTAGAGATCATTTAATATAAATGCTGAGCGAGTAAAATAAGAGGTGGCACATTAATAGTGCTTTAGTATATTAATGTATGTATACATACTCATATGTATAAGTGAGCTGTGTACCTAAACAATAAATGTAGCAAGGAGCAGCCAGAGGCTTGAAGTGTGGTAGGAAATTAAAAAAAGAAAAACCCAAACATCCATTATCGTGGCGCTGACAAATTGGAAGAGATGCCCATCAAACAGTTCAGATGAGACACAAAAAATGTGTCTTTCTTATTTTGACTCATCAGTTATCAGGGGATTTGTCAAACTGTTACTTTGTACCCCTCGTCTGACCGAGACGAAGGCCCAACGTTAAGCTTAAATGACTTGACCCAGAGCGTCTCCTCTATCCTTCAACCGTTCAAACACAAGGACTCACTCGCTCTCAGCAGAGCTGTAAAACTGTAGCCAACCATGCTAATTGTTTACAAAAAGGCAAAGAGCTCAATGTGGAGCATCAGCAGTAAACAGTTTACATGATGGAGGAAGAGCTAGAATCGTGGTAATGGTGGTGATGTTGACATTAGGTGTAAAGAGGACAATTGAATCTTGTAATACTCAGCAATAAAGGTGCTGGATTTATACTCAACGGGTTATAAATTAACATATTAAATCGACCAACTGCTTAATATTTGGAAATCTATCTTTGAAAGTTGGTTTTGTTTACCTCTCAGTAACCAACAGTCATATTCTCAGCTGTTTACATGATTTGAAATGTACTGTTTAGCTCATAATGACAGTTACAGGGTGCAAACCATAACATCTGGGTTTCTACAACTTCATGACGACACGCGTTCAGCTAAGCTCTAAAAAGCCTTCACGAGGTAAGCCACACCCCAAATCGTAACAACGTAAAGCATGAAAAAAGGAAACAACATTTAACAAAAAACACAAGGGAAGGCAACTTCATAGAAGTTAGGAGAACAAATGACAAGATAATCCCAATGGGGAGGCCTTTTGTGTGGCCAGACAAGAAGCTCTGAGGAGGGAAATCCTTATTTAGCCTGCGTTATAAAAGACCAACATTCACCTGATGCCTGAGGAAGACAGATGTACTCTCTCTCAAGTCTGATCATGTGCATTCACCCAAAAAAGACCTACATATTTGAGCATGCTGTGAAAAATCTCATGGCATAAATCAGCTGGGAGCTCAGGCATTGCAACCGAACCACATCAGGTCACACCACGACCAAGAGAAGCACATAATAGATTCCCTTATAGAAAACATGTGGAAAGCTGATTATCAAAAAGACTTGCTGCAATCCTTAAAACAGAATGCTTCAATTAAATATATTATATACGGCTCTCAAGTATGAAACAGACATGTGTTCATAAAATGCACTAATAAAATCATACTTCTTGTGGCAGGTGAGGACGTGCATGTGAAGGTAGTTCCTGTCACACCTTGCTGAGTATTGGTGGAACGTTATACTGTGTTTTCCTCCTCAGACCATCTACATCTGGACAACCACTTTTTTCTTTTTACGATGATGGGGTTGAGTACCAAGTGACACACTTCTGCCGTTTCCTACAATACCTTCATATATCGTCAGATTACAGAGAAGTTTCTCAGAGTGCTTGGTAATCTGCTCCTTGTTATCCAACCCTTCGTCTACATGTAAGCTAAACCAACAATCTTATCTAGGGAGGATCCATCAAATACATGGATATGTTTTGTGTTTGTTAAGGATTGAATAGGCCTATCTTTTTAGAATGTAATACCGATACCACTGTCAACATCACCACCAATTTCTCTTCCTGGTATATATTTTGTGAGCCTTGTTAATCTATTATCCCAGTACAAACTAAAAAAAATTAACACACAAGAAATGTTATCATATGCTCTGGTTTCCAGGCAAGGAAAGTCATTAAAAAAAGCTCATTCACAGAACAAAAAGAAAGAAAATTCATATCACGGCAGATACTGCTCATCTTCTAAATAGAATGGGTGTATGTGTGCCTGTGCATGCTTTTCAATTGAGCATCTTGAGTGTGTGTGTGTGTGTGTGTGTGTGTGTGTGTGTGTGTGTGTGTGTGTGTGTGTGTGTGTGTGTGTGTGTGTGTACTGCCTAAGAGCAGGAATGGACGACGCCATTCTTCTGCATCTCTGAACCAGTGGCACCTGGATCAGAGCACAGGCCCATCGCAGACGTCTTATTGGTCAGTGACAGCATGGACCCGCCCACGGCACTGTCCTGCAGACTGCTAGAGCCGTTTGACACCTCGCTGAATTAAAGGAGGACAAAAGGAGGTCAGGTTAATGAAACCACAATCAGGGAATATACACAATGTTATGTTCAAGTGCGTGTTAACTCACCCAAGAGCCATGGAGATTTCTTCCAGCTGAGTCTTGTGATCTTGTTGTCCATTCTCTGAGGGTTTCATCTTGTACTGCTGCACATCGTGGGCGACTTGGTTTTCCTGGTTTGGACATTGATAAAATATGCTTAGTTTCTGGTAAAAAAAACCCTGTTCTTTTCTTATCATTCTTCTGCAAGTGTTCCGTTTGTGACAAAATATTTGATCCAGCTGAACTCTATTTTGTCTCCATCCGTGGCCCATACCACAACAACTAAATGTGTCCTGGTGCCAATATGAGTTGTATATTGCAACAAAGATTCCTCATGGAGAAGCAGTTGGGATGCTTAAATAGTGGTTCATGTGTACTAGGGATGTAACGATATACCGAATATCGCAGGTAAATAAACGTCCCAATACCGTCGTGAGACTGACTTATTTAAAAAATATATATATTATTTTTTTTTTTGTTTTAAACCTTTATTTAACCATCGATGATCATCGATCTCTTTTTCAAGAGAGACCTGTCCAACATGGCAGCAAGTAGGTTACAAACATAAACAACAGAACACAAAAGGACATCGTATTTACAGGGCTACATTTACACACCTAGAGACATTGACAAGTACCAACAGTATGTTTATATCTCTGTCAATAAGCCTCACCTTCTTGGCAAAAACTGTATTGTTTTTGAAGTGGTGGAGAGACAATGCACAGTTTGACCCACTAGGGCTGTGCAATTAATCGTATTTTAATCGCGATTACGATTATGGCTTGCGACGATTATGAAAACAGCATAATTGACAAAATAAGATTATTTAGCTGGGTGCGCTTTCGCCGCTCCCTAAAAACCCACTCGGCCACGTGGGAGTGACATGTGTTGTGAGTGTTCAGCGCAAGCGAAGATGTCAGAACAAGAGCAGCAACTAGTTAAAAAGAAGGGTCGCGGGGAGATTCCCAGTCGATCGCGAGATGTGTCTAAAAATAGAACAACAATATTCTGTTTTATCGTTAATGTCCTGTAACATAATGTTTCCGTGCCAGAATAAGGCACTTGAACGCATCAAAGCTTTGTGATTGGCCGGCCTCACCCCATGTGTCCGGGCGTGGCT